TCATAAGAAGCTCATGTACTTGATTTGGGGTTGAAAGGACATTGTTATCAAGGCTTTTCAAATTTAGGCTTATTGGTGTGCGGGCTTCCATAATCTATAGGCATGACTCGCACTCACGGGCATGGGTTGCAACAGCTTCCTCTATTATTCGTATTGGGGAATTAGTGCGTCAAAAGTACGCACTAACAGGTTACCCTATTGAACGTCACTCTTCGAGAGGAACGAGAAATGTGACATTCGGAACAAAATCGCCCAAGTTCATCTTTCAAATAATTACCAAGGCATTCTTTTTCGCCCAACATTTTATTCCACATAGTTATCAGCAGTCATGCCCCTTGGAAGAGGCTGGCTCACGACTAGCCTTTTATTGACTTGTATTTTTTGTTCCAACAAGTAGGGGCCTTCTTTGAGGCTTTCTTCCCTATCTATTAGAATCCAAATTTATCTGGCAGTTGGGGGATTTGCTTAAGGGCTTCCTTCCCAATCCGTCTAGACTTCAAGGAGGGCTACTGGGTGGGGGCCTTCTTTGGGGCTTTCTCCCCAATTACACCAAGCCTTCAATTTTGGTCTATTGGTGGGGGCCTTCTTTGGGGCTTCCTTCCCACTTCAGCACGCATTTTTTTGGTTAGACAGTCGAGGGCCCTTAATGGGCATATGAGCTGCTATACTGTGACTCGAACTGATTGGCAGGAGGGGGGCTCTTTGGGGCTTGAACCCCAATCTACTGGGCTTAGTCGGGGGGCCTGGTATCAGCCGGCTTTTTATTCAGCCATGACCTCGAAAGTCTAAGCCTTTCAGCAACTGGGAACCTTATTAAGGCCATACTTCGTGGTCACGCCCGCCTGAAACCATTTTTACTCATGATGATCTTTATCGGATTTGCATCATGCTTGGTTTTTCCTTTTGGCTTTTTTATCCATAGCTTCGTGGTTATGCCCGCCTTTGTTTTTCTTTCATTTTTGTACTAAATGCATTATGAAATGCATGATGGGGAATGGGGAATGGGGAAGCTCCCTTATTGGTGATAGGGATGAAAGAGTAGGTTGAATCAATGGGATAGGGACCAGGCGGAGTCTTTGATGGAGGAGCAAGAGATGTGGCTGGGGTTAGTGTGGGTGGGTGTTGTAAGCTTCAACTTTATAAGCGCTCCCACTCCAGACATATTGGCACTCAAGTGAAGCGTGGTATTTGAGGCTCATTTTGGGGAGAGCGCTCCCTCGTGGTTTTGAATGATGCTCATTGGTGAGGATGTCAAGTCAATCCGTAGTGAAGTGCTCCATCTGAGTGGCCATCCAAAAATTTGAATGGTGCATGTGATGGGGACTCACAGCGGATTGAATTGGTTTAGATGAGAGTGCCCCATTCATGGTCTTGAATGGTGCTCTATAAGTAACAAAAATTGTCGAGTAAACGGAGGTGGAATGGTCAAGTGGAGGCGACCGTTCAATGGGTTCGTGCCTGAGGTGAGGAGATGGTGTGACTCGACCGAGGAATGGGGGTTTGCTTGATGAGATGGAGACTCACTGGTGGAGTGGCAGACTTATGAGAGTTGCAACTCAACCGGGGAGTGAAGGTAGATATCGATAATCGAATAGAAATTGTAGTATGTTAGTAAAATATAATTAATTTTGGAAAATAATTATTAAAAATACAAATTACATTAGAAGATATGAAAAATGTGAAAACTTAATAATATTTACTTACATTTATTAGAAATTATATTATTTACCATAAATATAATTATAATAACCAAAAAATTAATACAAATTATTTTATTAATACTTATATAATGGAAATTATAATATATTATCAAAATCTTATTTATATATAAACAAATATTTGAAAATTCAAATTATAGATAGCTAATTCAAAAATAAAAATCAAAAAATAAAATTAAAACTTTTTACATTTTTTATATTTTCCAGTTTTATTTTTCAAAATAATGTTTACTTATAAGTAATAATAACTTCAATTATATTGGTAAATAATATAATTTAAATTGAAATAAAAATAAAAAACAAATAATTGGAAATAAGATTTATTTAAGAGTAATATTTAGTTAGAATTGCATAACAAGTGACACCTATCAAAAAGTCGTTCTATTAAATCTAATAGGGATTGTATACAATGAGACCATTTACCTTTTATACAAGGTGATCACAATCATTTACAACCATTTGATGTAAAATTTGATAGTTTGAATGTGTCACAAAGTTTGAGAAATTTCTTTTAAAGTTTGAGATTGAAAATAATTCTCGATTCTTTAAAGTCAACTTCACGAATCATGATTTGCCATGCTGCTCTATCAATGGTCATACCCTCAGTGAGGCTATAAGTCCCTACATATTTTCTCACTACTTCGAACGATGTTCTTTTGGGCCTACCCCTTGCTATTTTTTGGCCTTCCACTTGAACTAACTTGCACTTTCTATCAAGTGTTGTACGGGGTCTGCGCTGCACATGGCCAGCCTACCTAAGTCTACTTTCTCTCTTATTTATCACCTATTGGACTTTTTCTCTTCTTTATCACCTATTGGACCATACTTAAGCTCTCATGAATGTATTCATTTTGAACTCTATCCCTTATTATGTTGCTATTCATACATCTCAATATCCTCATCTCAGCTATATCGTTCTATGGTATATTGTTTTTTAACTAGCCAATATTCCGTTCTATAAATAAAGCTGGTCTCACAGATGTCCTATAGAACTTGTCTTTCAACTTCATTAATATGCGGCCCTCACATAAAAAGCACTAGTTGCATATCTTCACTCCACCCACCCTACTCTAATTTTATGTATGACATCTTCATCAATATCTCTATTTCTTGAATTATTGACCCAAGATACTGAAAGTATGCTTGTTTTGGTATTTTTTAGCTATTAATTTTAACTACTTCCTCGTCTCTACCCCTAATTTTAAAATCTTTAGATTTTAGAGCATCCTTCCAAAATTCTAACTTTATATTAATATCACTTCGAGTCTCATCAATCAAGACCATATCATATGGTGCACTGCAGTACTTCATCTTGTTTTCATTAACTTCCCAAAGGAAAATATGAACTTGCTAGTTGTCTATCAATAAGGCAAAAAGATATTCTACTCCCTCTAGAGTAGAATGTTCATTTACTCCCTCGGGTAAAACTTCATTTAAATTTAATTTTAGGACTTCAAATTTTGGGGATGTAACTTTTTCAACCTAAAGATTAATCTCAATAAAAAAATTCCTTAATCGTATGCTCTCTGCACTTAAAAAAATAATGTATCGAGATTGTATAGTGACCATCCAATGGTTAAATGGTGAGATCTAAGTGTTAAAAAATTCAAGTTTCAAAACAAAAAAAAAAAAAGTAGAATAATCATCTAATAATTTTTAAGTGGTTTCCAAAATTTGATATTGATACTCATCGCAAGCAGGTCTTTAGACAAAAGGAGTAGAAACAAAATATGCTGCCAATGGAGCATAGTACATGCACACATCAATGAAAGAGATATGATGTTTATAAAAAGGGTCTGGTTTGCACAACCTTAATCAAAGTAGAGCGCACCTCCAAATTTTATTAAAAGATGTAATTTTTTAGTGCCGGAAATTTATTAGGATGGACCGAAAATCTGTTTTCATATCAAATTATAAAGAATTAAACTCCAGAAATAGTTCAAATCAAGTAGATCGATAAATACATAAAAGCTCTTGAAAATAGACGGTCCAAATAACATGTTGCAAGATGCACCATTTTTTGAGCTCAAGATCTTTCGTTTTGCAAGATGCCCTATTTTTAGACCCAAAATCATTTTCCTTTTGTATCGATACATTTCGATGTCGAGATGCTCATTTCAATGGATTTTTCACATGCACCTTAATTCTACAATTTAAGATTGCGACCTTCAAGGAAAAGGATTTCGTAAGGTTGCAACCTTAAACAATCCAATTAAAGCACGCCTCTCAATTTTATAATAAATGCAATTTTTTTGTGAAACATTCTTAAGATGGATGAAAATCTATTTTCATATCTACTTATAACATTTTAAACTCTAAAAATGATTTCAATCAAATAGTTCATAAACACATGAGAACCTTAAAATTGGACTATCCAAATAATATGTTACAATACAAACTATTTTCTCAAACTCCTTTTTTCTTTTCAATTCATACATCTCGATGTCGAGATGATCAAGTAAAAAGTTTTCCATCATCAAAACCTTTTATGATGGCTTTTTGAGGTACACCTTTAATTCTATATTATAATGTTACAACCTTATATAAACTATCTCCTTTAAAAAATACATTATGGGCTAATATTATTACTCCAGAAAAATATTTCATTGGCTCCAGGAGGGGCCAGCGACATTGCTTCTCTCAAACGTATTAGGGGGCGTTATTAGCCATTTGTTACACTAAGAATTTTCCACCCATGTACTGATTCTCCCTGATGAAAAATCCCATGGAAAAGCATTTCAAAAGGAAATCTCAAAAACAGTTCATTTCGTGGGTAGTAAATATCTATCCTTTCAAGAACCCCCAAAACTTTCTTCTTCCTTTTTTTTTTTTTGTTGAAAAGAACAGGTCAAACATTAGGCGACAAGTGATGAGGATAAACCAGATACTCTTAGAATATCCATCTCAAACCAGATACTCATAGAATATCCATCTCAAATTAACTTACTAAATTATGACAGATAAGTGATGATGCTTAGTTACTTTACAATATTCAAATCAGGATCTCACTTTGGCAGAATTTATAAAAGTATAATTTTATTTTTTTAGTAATGAAATAAGAATATACAAAATAATTTTCCATTTGAAGAATGTGCACCACACGTTTTACCTGCTTGAAAATAAGGCAGAACAGCTATTTTTTGCTGAGTAAGAGCAATTGAAATTGCAGTTCAAAAAGCCTTGCAATTAGAGGTATTTAAACCTCCACCTAGAAGATCTTGATCACCCAACACAATCTAAAAAAATGTCATGCAGATGGATTCAGTAAAAGATTGCCAGCTGACAGCTGAAGAAAGAAGAAAACTCTTCATTGGCATATTACAAATTCCTAGAGGCACATTCTCAGAAGGATATCTCATAACTTCTAAAGGTATCAGACTACAGTCAATTCTATAGTAACTACTTCTGCCATCAAAATATGAAACACCAGAATGCATAAAATTGCAGACTCGTTCTACATATAAGAAGATGGGTGGTATGAAGATTGTGGTGCAGTAGCATAGTAGACACCGTAGTTAGATGGAGGATTGTATGAAGCAGCAGAACCGGTTCCATCTGGGTTGATGTAGGCTTGTTGAAGGCTCGGTTGTGTATAGAGTACTTGAGTAGGTCTCTCATAACCGCTATGCATGGATGAGTAATTGTAGGTGGCTGCATTGGAAGGATAAGAGTATGGGTCTGCATTGGAAGGATAGGAGTATGGGTCTGCCCCTCCCCTGTAAAGCCCCCTATCATCCAAAGCAGTGGGCTGCCTCTCCACAGCCACATGAGATGGTTGACGGACACTACCAATTGCTTTAGCCCTCTTTGGTTGGGGCTTTGAGGATTCTCCAGTCCTTTTCTTTTGGGCTTTAGCCTTCTCCAGGTTGTTAACCCGCTTTTGAAGTTGTTCGAGAGGATACTGTTCCTCAAGCTTGTGCTCTTCGATACACCTGATGACAGCTCTCAACGCAACAAGCTCCCTCGAATTCGCATCTTTCTGATGAAGAAACATGATTAGACAGAGGAAACTAAGGCAACAAGTGGTGTAACTCTCTCATGACATGGAAACACACCTGAGAAGAAGCTGCGCTAGCATTCCCATTATTCCCCTGGGGATCTTTCTTAGCATCCTTCAAGTATGATTTTAGCAATGGTACAGGAGGGAATCGTTCAGTGAGATTGAAGGCTTGCGCAAAATTGACTGCCTCAATCTGCTTCTTACTGATTATTAATGATTCAATTAGACCTGGAGAAACAGCAATTGTGCAGAATCAGGAATTAACCGTCGAGTCAAAACTACCTATGCTATTCCGATTAACTGTCACTGCATCCAAGTCTGATCCATATATAATAAACCATGCTATGATCTGAAAAATGCAAAAAGTGATTTTATCCAGCTCCAAAGAAGAGATCATCCTAACTAGGATTAGAGAAGCAAGGGAGAAAAGAACCTAAAAGCTATGTAACAAAGAGACAGACGTGTGCCCCTATCAAACAGACATGCTGTGTCTGACATGGCTACTCATAAAGACATGATACATCCATACAATGCATACATGCCTATATAATTATTTTATAAATTTATTATTATGTAAATTTACTTAGTAGATCTTTGCTATTCAAACTTAACTTTAACAAATTAGGGGCAATTAGAAGAGATCATCCTAACCAGGATTAGAGAAGCAAGGCAGAAAAGAACCTAAAAGATATGTAACAAGGAGACCGACATGTGCGCCCCTATCAAACAGACATGCTGTCCGACATGGCTGCTCATAAAGTGGCCTGTTGAACATGACATATCCATACAATGCATACATGCCTATATAATTATTTTATAAATTTACTTAGTGGATTTTTACTATTCAAATTTAAACTTTAACAAATTACGGGAAATTACACATACCCCACTACTAAAAAATCCTGTATACAAGACCCCCACTAAAATTTTTCTCACCCCAATTCTCTTGGCACTGTTTTCCTTTACATCTACCTCCCCAAGTGAAATTTTTAGGCAAACTGCAACAAAATTCCCTCCATGGTCAAACATGGTGAAAACAAAGCGTCGATTCATTTGTGCTTACCTAAGGTCAGTTCGCCATTGCCAAACCGACTTTGATTAATTTTATTTTACTTGAGGTAAACCCAACTTTGTTTCAAATTATTTCCTATTTATTTATTTTTTCAACCCAAGTTTTGTTCAGCGGTTGAGTGCTGAACTGACTTTGCTGCCTTTTTTTCTTTCTTCACTTGACGTGGTTTTGCCCAAATGCCAAACCATCCTGGGTTAATTTCCCATTGTTTTATGCAAAGCCATGTTGACAATCAAAAGCATTTTTGGTACAAGTCCTCTAAATTTTCAATTAGGGAAGCAGATGCAAAGAAAAACAATAAGAGAGTGTATGGTGTTAAACTTAGCAGGCGGTCCTATTTTGTACGATCTTCTACATAGCATTGTATATGTAATTTTCCCCATGCATTTCCAGACCATATAGAGACGTGTCCAATGGTGTGTAAGGCCATTTACGTGATGGACACACGCATCCAAATGTTGGAAACTGTCCAGTATTTGGGTGCATTTTATTTGGACATAAATGTAATATCTGACTTGTCAAGAGACGTGTCATATGAAATTTATTTTCGATTGAAACACACGACCGACATGCCTGAGATATTAGTCGGACACGCACTCGTGTTAGACATTCCGAAACATGAGAGACACATGTGTCGTAAGATAGCCCAAAAGAGATACAGAGGAGCCTAGAGGATCCTCATGGCCATTCAACAGAATACCAACCTGGCATTTTGTATGCGAGTCCAAGGGAACGGCAGAGTTCAGGTGTGTGCCTGCGGCGAGAGACAGCAAGCACGAGCTTGCAGAGCTCATCTCCATCAAACTCTGTGGCAATACTAAATGTACTAAGAAGCTGAAGAAACGCCTGTGCTTCCAATGAGTTTCCATTGTCAGCATCAGCGTCAAAATTGGTCAGTTTAGGCCTCCATTCATCAGCAACAGCCATGGCTTTCTTCTTGTGTTCAGAGGTGATCACTGGGAGATCACCACTCGATTCATTGCCACCAAAAACAGGGGCCACAGATTGCATCAAAAGAATACAAGCTCGACGCTGGCCCTGAAGGGCTGCATCCTTTTTGTCCCCTGGTTGGGCAGTTTGATCTTGGGGGTAAAAGCCCTCCAAAGAATCCAGCACCAATTGGGCTGGATCAAATGCATCTTTAATTGCAACAGGCAATTCCTCACGTATTTGAGCAAGAACTTTGCGGTTCTCTGCTATAAATTTCAGAAGCCCTTTTGCATCCATTTGTTCGCAAAATTGCTTCAGTTCGGGACGTGGCTTTATCTCAGAAGCCACAGTATTGGCAGGAGCACCAGATTTACCAGAGGTGTTCTCATTGATACAGATGGGTGCATTTGACTGAACATTTTTAGAGTTCTTTACCTTGCTTTCTTGTTCATCCATGGCTTCTTCTGGCCCTTCAAATAATGCTTTGACCTTTTCACGTGCCTCCTCGATGGCAGCAACAGCAGCATTTCTCTTCTCCTGAACACGCTCCCAAAATACCTCCTCTTTAGCAGTAACTTCTGCTTCTCGTTTGGCTAGAATTTCACAATTCTCAGATGCCCTGGCCTCGTACAGCTTCTCTTTCTCTTCTAACTCCTCATATTTCTTCTTTAAAGCACTCTCTAGGCTGGAGAAATGTTGTTCCAGATCTTTCCAGTCCACTGAAGAGTTTGTAGTAGTGTTTCTGTGGAATTCCAGTTCAGAGAATGCCTTGCGAAGCTCCTCCATCAATGAGGCATTAGACTCAGAGCCCATAACAGCTAATTTTGTATTAGCCTTGGTTGACACTGCAAGGAAAGTTGGGTTTGTGATACTTTACAAATAAAATGCTAGCGAACTCAGGGTTAGGCATTCCATATATGACAAGAATAACATAGCCAAAATATAATACAGAGAAATAAGCACAAGAAAACTATACAATGCTGTTGTACAATACATGGTATGCTATGGGAACATCTATTATCCCCTCCCCATGGTAGATGATGGGAGGTAAACTGTACATGGAATATTGATCATTGAGCACTGTGTCAATCAACCTAGCGGAAGAAAGGGAACTGTGTTAATCTCCACCATCTGTTATATAGAACAGATGGTGCCCCAGGGTGTAACATATAACATACAGCACAGTGCATGTTATATTTTCCCTGGAAGTACAAGCAGCAAATGATTCAAAGCAAGAATTATTTAATCCCATGCAATATACAGAAAGTTGGTAACTAGCTTCAATAATACAAGGGCAGACAATGCAGAAGAGAGAATTTGTAGCCTCCATGATACTTTTGAATGAATAAGTAGATTATCATCATTACTTCAATATTTTAAAACATCCACAACGTATCTCCTCTTTCAAATACAAACACTTTCTGACTCCATTCAATACACGTGACATTTAATTCTCTTTCTATTCTGTGCCAACTAATCTGTATAAGATGCCTCCGACCTCATGTAAACAAGGGTTCCTTCCATAGAAAATTCCATGCCATAGTTATTTTCCAATACCATCCAAAGTGAAAGACTTCCCCAGGATCTCTAATAGAAGCACATTGGCCACACAGCTTCACAATGACTCGCATTTAACTGTTCCTATGGCTAATAGTATGCCACTAGAATCAAGTATCATTAGGCCTGAATATTTTAGATTTGAATGGCTGTCTGTTGTACAAGAATCATAGAACATCATTTTGAGTTGGCTACCTGAGAACTGCTCTATAAGATAACTTCAGTTTCTGCATAATGAAATGAGAAAAAGAGATCCACATAAACTTTACAGCTCTAAGCAAGTTTAACTGGGTGTAGTCCTGAAACATAAAAGCGTAATGCATAACCTTGTAAGAAACTAGTAATGTAAAGCTTTGTAAAAGGGAATAAGAAATGCATAGACAACCTCTTTGTTATTTTTTCTTTTCTTCTTTTTTTTTTTTTGGTTGGGTTGAATGTTAAACTTCGGATCTGATGATAATCCAACGCTAGACATCACACGACCACCTCTGCCTAGAGCCCGTTCTTGTTTCATAAAAAACCTATTGCTGGTGAGATCTTCATAAGTTGGGTTTTCTTCCTGTGACTTATTGGTATGGATCGCTTACAAGCAACTTTTAGGCTCCATATTTGACTCCCTTACAACAGCTTGTTCAAGCATTTCCAAAGTCATAAAAACAAGTCAAGGTTAATGACATGAAATATCAAATCAACCAGGCTGTAGTCATCACAAATATCTGCCTCAGCACTCTTTTTGATAATTATGGACTCCAGCACTTGCTATCAAACATTTCCCCATATCAGCTTCAAGCTAAAGTAGTTTTTGTTGTCACATTCATGGTATATGTAACAGTTTTTGTTGTCACATTCATGGTATATGCAAATCTCGTTACGTGTTCAATTTGATGTTTTTACGTATGCCTCTATGTATTTCTTTCCTTATTACTAACCAAAAGCTATAAGAAACCTTGAAGAGTAGGTCAAGAATAAATCCAACATCACTAAGAAGAAAAACTTTCTATAAGTCAGCACATACGGAAAGTAATACATGACAGGCTATCCCTAGCAACCCAAGCTAAATAAACGGCTGGGAAAGCACAAGACAAATGGCAGTTATACAAAATTGTCACACATTAGAAAAGAATGCAAACATAAGAAGTGCAAATAAAGTATGATAGCCTAAAGCTCTTAAGAAAGTCTAACTCTGACAAATAGGCATATAATTGCTCAAGCTGACTAACTTAGGGTAATAAGCAAAGATTATGGTAAGTCGATGACAGGACTAAGTCAATAAGCAAGTTTGCAAGGTGGCAAGGAGCACTCCGAGCTCCACAACGATAACACACACATGTATGTGTATGCACATATTAGGTATGCAAGTATATTTAAGTATTTGTTAATACTGTGCATGTATGGAAGTGCTTATGAATGTGTATATTTCATACCAGCTAGTCTGACCAATAGGACCAGGATAGGATCCAAAACCAATCCGGTTCTCCTCTAGAACCAAGCATCAGAAAAAATTTTAAAAAAAAAACAAAGGAAAGAAAAAAGGAAACCAGTGATTGACCAATCAAACTGTTGCGACAAGAGGTTTGACTAGTTCTCTATTAACTAGCCTGCTCTAAAGAAGTTCCAAGATTTTTTTCATTTTCTTGAAATGGTTGAAGTTCCTTGATCTTTGCAAACCAGCTGACAATTTTCATTCTTTTTATCTCTGCCATTTTGGGAAGGTTTCCAACATTGTTAATTATAATTTTTGAAAGTTTTACTCGTGTGTTATGTTCTTGAACTCCTAACATATTGTGGGGTTACAAGTTGTTTGTTACATTAAGTATTACTGGGGTTTTTTCTGTAATTCAATTTGAGGGCAACCACTCAACTTGAATCATTTGTATGTAAAATCATTCAAGTTATCTCGCAACTAGAGTAGTCGTGTGTTTATCAAAAAAATAAGGTGTGTGCATGAGTGTTTGCGTGTGTCCATGCCTATATTGATAACCAACTGAAGTAGTTGTATATTGATGGTGGCCAGAAACAAAATTCCCTGTAATACCATTTCAATAAAATGATTCATTGCAATTAAGATTTTAGAGTGAACCTTATTTTCCGTACGTCTCATCTCTGCTATATAGACTCATAATGGAAATTGTTTGACTCATAATGGAAATTGTTTGACTTTCAAAAAAATTGAATCCCAGGAGATTGACAAGAGCAAATGCAAACACACATAGTTTTCCAAAACTAAGGATAAATATAATCATTTTTCTCGAATTAAGTGTATAAGTTTTACAAGTTTTTATAAGAACCTGATAGTTTGTATTTGAAAGTGGGATAATGCTAAGAAGACATTTTTGAGGCCCAAACATATGTTGTTGAGAAGAGACGGAGAAACGGATCTGAAAATTTGTGTAGTTGCATGTGAGAAATAATTATTAAAAAGCGGGGCTTGTTTTACTTGGGATCAATGTTAAATAAGGCGGAGGCGGGCGGTCAGTCGGCTGGGCCGCCTAGGCTATAAGGCGACCACCTAGGCGGGCACCAGACCGAAAAAAAGGTGATTTTTTCTTTTTTAAAATTTGGATCCCCTCCCCCCATTTTATGATATATAAAATTGTTTGTTTTATTATTTAATAAGTAAGTTTTGTATGTAATATATTCTTAAGTGGCTGGAAGCACAGATCAAACCTAAACATTTACAACTTTAGATTGTAAATGAAATAATTATAACTCAAAATGAACATTACAAAAATTAAAATGAATTTAAATATCGCAAATCACAAGTCACTCACAAGCAAATATTCAACTAACAAATAAAATAATTATGCTTTATGAATCATGCATCAAGAAAACACATTGCACATACAATTATTTAATAAGCAATTAAGAATTAAGCAATTATTAAACCAACTAATAAAATAATAATCCAAGATTCCAAATAAACAATAACATATCAAATATATATCACAAAGTAAAAAAGAAAAATACAAATAGCAAAAAATAACATCATTAGACATTAAGGGAAAAAAATACAAAACCTAATGAAAACTATTGAAATATACCAACCTTCTTGAAGTGGACTCGATTTCGGGCCAAACCAAATTTTTTGGAATCCCAAAGCTCCTCTTTTACAACCCCTATAAGCCTCAAAAAGATTGGGGTGAATATCATTTAATATCGTGACCATTTGAGGATTTCGAAAAAAAAATTGATCTCTTAAAAAATCTTCAAATCTAGTTTTTTTCAAGTTATTTGTCTCTCTGAAGTTCACTAAATTTGTTTTGGGGGGCAAGAATGACCCCCCAAACCCTTATCCCCCCTTTAAGGGGGTAAAATGTCCTTTTTTGCCCCACCCAAAAAAACTTTTCTGCCAAAGCCCTTTATGCCAATTGACCGCCTAATCAGCCGCCCGACCGCCTAGTTCTGACGCCTAATTAGTCCCCGCCTTAAGAACGCCTAGTAATTTTTTTTAAATAGCCACCAAGGTGAACTTTTTGAACACTGCTCGGGATGAAAATGAACGGATGGTTAGTTGCTTCCCTCAGCAATAAATTGAAGGATTGAAATAATACCAAAACTTTATGTTGTAGCATATAAAGTCTAAAGAGCCATTTCATGGGAAGATGTAGTGACCTTGCTTCTTGAACCTTGGGTTGTTTCTCCATAAAAGTTCATGTATAATAAATTGTTCCTTTAGTAGGATTTTTTAAATTCCACTAGGAAGTTTAAAAAGTCGACTTTAGTCCTTAGAAACCGTATTACATTTTTTCCAATTTCCTGAATTGTGCTCAAAATTTTCAAATTTATAATTGTAAGTCATGCAAAAAGGGAAGTAAACTTAAAGGCAGACTATTGGATATTCCAAAAAAAAAAAAGGATTATGCACCACCACTAATTTCATGTAGCTGCCTCCACCTTTTTTAATGTGTTTTACCCCTTTTTAATCAGAAACTATCACTTGGCAAAAAAACAAGAGCAGAAGTTCAAGAATATAAGATTCACCAGTAGCACGGAAAAACTACTTGATGAGTACCCTTATGAATACAAAGTGCAAAAGAAACGCTGAGAACTACACGTGAACACAACTTGACAATCATATGTATAAATCTCAAAAGGAAATATCAATGCGAATAATTGACTTTTTACAGTGTTATTTTTACTTCTAGAAGTTTTTGCAGGGGTTACAGCAGATATTGAAGAAATATCTAGAAATATATGACAGGTAGCCAATAAGGAGGTTGCTTCTGTTATGCAGTTAAGGAGTTTGATTCTGCTAGGCTGATAGGAGAGTAGGCCTTACATTTTAGTAGATTTTAGACTAAATAAATTACTTAACACAATTAGGGGAATGTGAAATGAAAAAAAAATCATAAGGCGTATTCCATGGTAGTTGAGGTAGAAAATCTATATAAATGCACATGGACTATCTAACAAATATATAAACAAGAAACAGAGACTACTAGCCACGGAAGGAAACAAAAAATGAAAACACCAAAGAGTTGGATAAGCTTTATATCTAGCTGAAGACGAAAAGTTGCAGAAAGGCATGACAATTCATTTAGGGATGAACAGATAGATCCTCCAAGAGAAAACTTCAAATGGTCGCTGCTTTGATCGAGCTAGGTATGTGCATACCATTAAGTAGTGACTTCTGTTAGATAGCAAACTGCATCCTATTAACGATAGCAAAACTGACTAACTTAATCTGTTAACGAATTGTATTCTTGGTTTGACCTGCCCAGGTCACAAGAATTGTCCTACTATCAAAGACAGACATGGACGAGGTGTTGTTCATGAGGTGCGCAACTTAATGACATTACCTATTTGTATGCAACTCAACAACTACATAAGCAGTCACTGTTTATTCAGGTAACATATTATTTTTAATAAGTAACCATTATTAAAAAAGAACCTTAAAACGGACTAAATGAAAACAACCATCAGAATGTTGCCAAAATGGAAAGTCAATGTTAATTTATTTTGTAACCTTTTTCCTCTCTACCCTCATGAGTTAAGGAAGATATGTCATCTCCAAAAGTTGGAGGACTAAAAACATACCGACAGAGGAGTATAATGATATGCAGTTTGACCAAAGTGGCTTTATGTTTGAGGTGGCCTCTCAATATTGAGGATAATGAAATTTAAAAGGAGGGATTGCCAATCACCACTTGGGCAATTAAAAGGGAAGTTAGAAATAAATGTCAAACCATGTTGACTTGTATCAACAGATATCCAATTGAAAGATTTGCATGTTTCTATTCTTCTAGGAGAGTCGATATGTCGAGGTATGAGGCAGTCTTTAGTACACAAGTAGTATGAGGTGGTCTTTAGTACACAAGTAACAAATCTAGACATTGAAGATGTTTTGTATGTTTCCATTTGCCAAAGCAATTTTTTTAACTAATTTTGGAGCTAGTTAAGAGCCCTACTTTAAGAGCCAGACAAAAAGAAGCATGGTGACCCATAAGGCCCCTCAGCCCTTCATGTAACATAAAGGCATACTTTAACCAGTGATGTGCACTGAAAATTGGCCAACTCAACTCTGGACTAACTGTCTTACCAAATAATATCACAATGATGAAAATCAAAAGTCTTGTGGCAACATCTTTTTAAATTACTCTGTCTTGCAGCATTTTTTTAACCTAGTTCAGATTATTCAGGAAATCTGTTAATATATCTACAGCTTTCTTCTCCTATTTCTAGTGGGGTTAACATTAGATCCAATCTTAGATGCACAGTCAGCATTTCATTTTCGGTTTGCTCAGCCGAACATGAACCAATGCCCCAGTTCAATGAAATTCACACCCCTTCGTCTTGTTGGAATAGTCATTACTTACACTAGCTGTAAAAAAATGAGAATGAAACCAATCAGGTAGATAGTCAAGTTATACGAGAAATACAAACGTTTACCCCTTTCCTAATGCTCCACATTAACAATTTGTTTATATTTCTCATTTGAAATTATTCTCATTTGATCGTTTATTCTTTCTTTTGATGAGGTTAACTTTACTATATGAATCACTGTTTTAAAAAACGGTCCGCCCAGCTCCTAGGCACCCTAGGGCGCACGCCTAGGCCTGAGTATCCCTCCCTAGTCGCCAGTACCTAAGCACCCACCGAGGCGGCCCAACACCCAGTTCTGGGCGGGCGCCCCCTTTTATGTCTTTAAACTAGGCCCTATCGGCATTTTATGTAATTTGGATCCCCAAATTTGATTTAAAGAGTATTGGAGGGTGTTTTAAACGTCCCAAAGTTCAAAAAAACAAAAAAAAAATCTATAAGCCCTAACCTACAATTGATTATACTTATATATGTGAATCGGATACAATTTCTGAGGTTTGATGAAGCATCCAAAAGCTTATCTTTTCTTATTGAAATTCTTTTAGGGTGCTAGTGTTGGTATTGTAAGGCTTTTGAGCTCGATTGACATCAAAACATCGAAGAGTAGAGACCAGGCAAAAAGGTGAGTTTATAATCTGTATATGAGAGTATGTTTTTGGATTTGAGATGTCTTCTACGGGATCTATTAGGAGCAGGAATCCAGGAAGGCACTATTGTGTTAACCCAGATAAAAATAACAAAACCAAATTATGTGCAGTTTTTGTGGACATGTTTCTAATGCCGGCGTACATAGATTCAAGAAACATCTTGCTGGTAAAGGTGCTGTTGCCCCATGTAAAAAGGTTCCCTAACTTGTAAAGGAAGAGATTGTAACTACATAGAAGCTGAAAAAAATAAAAGATTAATAAAGGGAAAGGACATGGCAGAATTGACAGGGAGGGGATGGGGGGGCAATATTTTTTTATGATGATGACACTGATGAAGATGAAGAAGTGGAAGAGGATGTAGGCTAGGTGGCGGTTTCTCAAAGTTCTAAGAGTAAGAAGGGTTTTGGGTCTAAGAGGCTTCGTACGAAAGGGCCAATTGATATGTTTTTTCCACCTAACCCCGAGATAGTAACTGAGAAAGGGAATTGTAAGAATAAAAAGTAATGACACTTGAAAATAAATTTAAGAAGGAAGACAGAGCCCAGGTAATTCATATATTGCTAAGTGGCTTTACCATATGAGCATTTCTTTCAATATTGCTAGTCCTATCTTAAATAGCTTTTATACAATGTTGGAAGCAGTTGGCCAATTTGGGTCAAAGTTGAAAGGCCCAACTCCATATGAGCTTAGCAGCCACTATTGAAGAAAGTGGTTGAGCACACTAAAGAATATCTCAAGACCCATAAGGAAGGGTTGACTCAATTTGAGGTTTCCAAAATGACCGATTTATGGAGTAATAGGAGTACCATGAATTTGTTTGTAAATTGTCCATCAGTACATTTTTTTGCATTCCATTTATGCTCTTGCTGAGGTTCACAATGCCCATTATATTATTTTTTTTATTGATAAGGGAATTGAGGAGGTTGGGGAGGAGCACGCAATTCAAGTGGTCACAGATAATGCTGCCCCTAATTTAGCTACAGCTCATTTGCTTCGTCAGAAGATGCCTCGCATATTTTGGACCCTTGTGATGCATATTGCATAGATCTTATGCTTGAAGCATTGGTGATATGTCTACTATTAAAGGAACTATTTCTAAGGCTAAGGAGGTTACAATATTCATATATAACCAAACCATTACCCATAGCATGATGCGCAAATTTACAAAGAAGAGGGACCTAGTGAAGCTCGGGGTCACTAAATTTGCAAATGCCTAATTAGTCTTAAGAACTTGTATAAAAGAAGGATCCCATTGAAGACGATGTTTGCTTCAGAGGATTGGAGCAAGTGAAGGTGGTCTAGAGATGCAAGGGAAATAAGGCCCACGATATTATTATTTCTAAATATTCTTGGTGTGGGGCATAGCAGGCGATAACAGTTTTCTACCCTTGGTGAAGATCTTGCACTTGGCTGATATTGAGAAGTCCGCTAGGGGCTTTATGTGTGATGCACTTGAAGGAGCTAAGAAGAAGATTGCAGAGAATTTGGGTAATGATGAGGCCAAGAACAGCTCAATTTGGCAGATTATAGATGACAAGTGGGAAAGGTAACTTCATAGACCATTGCATGCAACGAGGTACCACTTGAAACCCAAGTTCTTTTATGTTGACATCAACATTGAGACAAAAGATAAAATTATGGACAGTTTTAATGAGTGCCTTGAGAGATTAGTTCCCGCTCCAGAAATCCAAGATAAGATATCGACTGAAGAAGACATTTTCTATGATTGTGCTTTGAAGTCATTCGAGAAAGAAGTGGCACTAAGACAGAGGAGAAAATCAACTCCAAGTAATATAGTTTTTTGAAATTTTTCTTTCAAGTTCCTAATAACTAATGTTATATTTTTAATTTCCCAAAATTCTCAATGATAATGTTAAATGCTTAAATTAATCATAAGGGCGCACACAAATTGCAGCCCAATGGTAGAGCTAGCATGCGAGTAGCACTCCAAACTCTCAGAAGATGGCTATTTAGGTCTTGAGTTTGACAAATAGCTCTTCTGGTTGTGAGCAGAATTGGAGTTCATTTGTTATGTTCTTTTCTTGTTTACAAGTTCATTTTTCTACTAATTGATGGGTTAATTAGTAGTAGTACTCATGGACTTTCTCTTATAGGTGCATATAGAGAAGAAATAGGCTTGAGCAAAGGAAGTTCAATGAATTGGTGTTTGTTAGGGAGAATCAGAGGCTCAAGGAAAAGTTTAACCAGCAAAAGAGGGATCCCATTTCTTTGAAAGACAAGGAGAACGCTTCTAAGTGGTTAGTTGAACCCGAGGTACTGAAAAGTTCTTACCCAAGGAGGGTTTGACTTGGGATACGGTTGAGGAGGCTTCGCTTCCAATTTCAGATCCTAAGAGGGCCATTCAAGCAGCAACTGCGATTGATACTTCACACACACATATAGGGTAAGGGAGATAGAGGAGGAGGAAGCAGATTCAGAAGAAACTGAGGAAGAAGAGCAATATGTTGTAGAGGGTGAGGCTTTTGATGACGACAGGTCTTGATTCAGATGAAGATGTAAGTAGTGAAGTTGTTTCTGATTCTGACTGATGATGACTGGAGAAATGAAGATGTCCTCTCTCTGCTTTTGTATTTCATCTTTATTGGGCCATCTTCGGTTTGGATATTTGGATTTTGGAGTTTTTGCCTTTTTGGACTATTGGTTTTATACTTCTGTAAGTTTGTTGAAGAATTGGAGTCCATGTGATTATGGGATATGGAGAGTAGGAGACTAATACAGTAATACACTATGGACTTTTTTAAGTTTTTTTCACTAAATTTTCTATGGTTTGAAGTATAGAACATGTTTATTCTTAACATGCGTCATGTGATATGTTTGTAAGAAAAAAGTTAGTTACAATAAATATAAATGCAAAAAATTACAAAATTAACACAAATATATGCATATGTGCATTTGAACATATATGCATACTAAAGAATTCTCACTATAGGATGCCTGAGGATCTTGGCACCTGCCTAGGAGCTGGGTGCTCGGATTTAACAAAATGTTTAACAAAATGACCTAGAAAGTTAACCTCACCTTCTAAGTGATCTAATCAATAAACCTATGTGAAGGGCCCCATATCTGGCATGCTTAAGTTGTTGGCCTCACGCCAAATGTAATGGGAGGAAGTCTTGAGGAAGGCACTCATTGCAAATATTTGTTCAAAAACCTTGTTGAGTCTCCACAAGCATATGGATATTTTGTTGGCCCATTTTATGGTACTTTTAGAGCCCCTTCAACCTATCGTGAAACGCCTTATGCCCCTCGAGAAGAGAGAGCATCTCAGCCATGGTTGAGATAACAACATCAATGAGCGCTAAGAAGGACCAAACTATGGCTCAATGGCTATTGTTGATACCACATCCACAAGCCCTGCCCTGACACCAAGAGAACACCCATCAAAATTGTGTTTTCATGGTGCCAGGCTCTAAGTCTACCCAGTGGGGTTCTTATTGAGGAACTCCTGTTAGACCTTGCTACTTTATCCCAATTTAACAAGGAATCAAAAGTTCCATACCCCTTTGAAGTCTTCCAGTTGTCACGCCCATTAATTCATTGTTGTCTTGATGTACTCTCGATGGCTCCAAGATCCTTCTTTGGCTTTCTAACCATATGTTCCAAAATAAAGTGAGGGCTGAGGGGAGAAATAGGTCAGGAACGGCCACTGTGTTTTTCCCAAAACCATGCCCTCACAGTCAAAACATTCTAAAACGGTTGCTCCAAATGTATCCAATTGCCATACAGTGAAGAAGGAGATGACCAGCAGATTCTTCTCTCTCCTTGCATAGGATGGATCAATTAGGCATCAAGAAGCCTTGCCTTTGCAGCCAGTCAGCCGTGAGAATCTTCTTATGTATGACCAGCCAACTGAATGGTAGGACCTTTCATAGGATGTTGTGGGGGGAACCATGCCCTCCTCTTGTATCATGGTATCATTATAGATAACTTTGTTAGACGAACATGCTGGGCTCCACAACTTGTTCTTTTCACAATTAGGGAGGAACCGAGGAAGTAAGCATGAACAGAGGACAATCATGCCCCAGGTGTCGAAAACTTGTAATCTCTTATGCAATCAATGTAAACTCATGTAAAAGGTGTTTTGATATGCAGAGAACGGATCAAATGTAATGAAACAGGGTATCTATGTGTCCCTGGAATTTCTAACCCCTAAAATAACATATAAAGCTCCTTTGTGAGTGTGTTTTGTGCAATATAAAGCTCCCTGGAATTATATATGGGACCATGCAAGACAAATAAAAAAGAAAATGCCTACAGAATTTAGAGGATGGGTATATCATTTGTCGTAAAAGGAAGGGAAAGCAGTGGGTGATGGTGGTGCCACTAGTGCCCCTTCGGGATGGTGGTGCCACTAGTGCCCCTTCGGGAAATGCTAAGGATAACAATTCAGCAAAAAAAGTGCCACCAAGTGGGGTTCATTGCTACATTTTTTTTCCCCAATCCTGAAGATGTAATCAAACAAAGGGAATTGAAGGCAAAAAATAAGTGTCGAAAATCTGTAAAAAAAGTAAGATTCCTAGAGAGATAAATAATACACTGCCACATGAATTTGTCATGCAATAAAACCTTCAATGCTAAAAGTTTGTAGTTTTTAGACTATTATTAAAAGCATAGGACAGATCAGGTGGGTGTCGAAGTACCCAAATGGAGAAAACAATAAGAAATTTATAAAAATTAAGAAGAAGAATGGCTAACAATGATAAGTTCTACAAAACAGATAGACAGGAAGAGAGAGTATTATCTAAAATTCATAATGGATTCATCAATTTCAACTAATTAACAACAAAAGTATATCATAATGATTCCTAAAATTGAAAATCAGCCATTAATATCCGAGTTCAACTACCAAACACCTGCTTGCAAAAAAAGCAGCCCAATGCAAACAAATGCGAAGAGTACAAGTTACATAAAAAAGGAAGTGCATAATGAACAAACAAAAAAAGTATCCAAACCCAAAATACAACTACAAGAGTACAAGTTACAGATCAATTTCAACTAATTAACAACAAAAGAATATAATAATGATTCCTCAAATTGAAAATCCGCCATAATATCGAAGTGGTTAATATTCTCAAAAAAAAAAAAAAGCGAAGGAAGTGTATAATGAAAAAATCAAATTACAAAGGAACATGAGGAAAATATAAAGAGAATAAAAAAGAGATAGCAAGTACCAGGTCCGGTCGTCTGCACCAAGAAAAAGATAACGCTGTTTACATGATAGAAAAAATGAGAACCAAGATCCACCACAGAGGACAAGATACATAAAGATTAGATAGATAGATACACAGAGAGAGGGTAAAAAGACAGAGAGAGGAGCAAAAAGACCGAAAGAAAGGGGCAAAAGACAGAGTGAGAATATAGAGAGTTAGAAACAGAGAGAGGAAGAGATAGAGAGTGAAACTAGACAGAGTAGATGCAGAAAAAGAGGAAACATGATAGAGAGAGTAGATGCAGAAAGAGAGGAAACATGATAGAGAGAGTACCAGGCAGGTGGGAATGGAAGGGAGATGCAGCCCTAAGCGACTTTGATATCGATATGGCCGGGAAGGGAGGGCATTTACACTCCCCTCTGCGGGTACGTTTCGAAGGCCAATCTTTAACAAAATTTTATATTTGTGGCGCCTATACCACGCTCCCTCGGGAGTGTACTGTATATTTACTCCCTTGGGTAAAATACATTAGGTAAATTTTTTTTTTTTACTTGAAATTTCGGGATGCATCTAAGTTTTGTCTTCGGTAGGTTTGGTTCGCATGAAATTGTTTTTTTAAAATATTTTCACATGAAAAAATTTCTCATGTGGTTAAGTGTAGAAATATTTTCCATACCAATTAGTCTTAGTGTATCTTTTCACGCTAATTGGCAACTAATTGATGTCAAAATATTCCCATACTTAACTTCATGAAAGCATTTTTTTCATATGAATATTTTTCGAAAAACAATTTCGCACAAACCAAACATGCCATGAGATTGGTTACTGGATTTTAGAAATTATATTCTCAATTTTGAGATATAAAAATATCTATAGTATAAGTGTTACATATAGAAGTATATGGATAGTGTACTCTGCAAGAGCATGAAATCTTTTGGCTTATTGGGTGTGCACAAGGTTGTAACTTTAAACGGTCAATGTAAGGCTGAGGTACCTTCAAATTTTATTATAAGATATAATTTTGGTGTAAAAAATTCTTTGAATGGCTTGTGATTCTATTTTTATCTCTAGTTAATAAAATTTTAAATTCTAAAAACAGTCCAAATCAAGTAGATTTCTACACACATGAAAATCTTGAAAATAAACAGCCCAGATGGTTTACTTCTACCAATGAAAAGGAGAGCAACATTTACCAACAAAAGAATACAATACACTTGAGAAAGCTCGATTAATAGATTTAAAATATGTCAACCTTGTAGACAAAATTATCACTCAAAGAATGTTTACCTCTATGACTATAGAGGTTAATAAAGAATTTATGTTTCAAACCACTGCCTTCATAGACTCTAGTGCAGATTTGAATTGTGTAAATGAGGAGTTGGTTCCAACTAAATACTTTAGCAAAACTACTCAGGTTTTAAACACAATTGATGATAGTAAAATGTTAATCAATTATAAGTTGTTTGATGTTGATGTTTGTAATTACGGAACATATTTTATTCTACCATTTATTATGGTTAAAGGTTTAAGTCAGCCCGTAATTCTTAGAACAACATTTGTAAATATGGTGTATCCAATTGTTAAACTTGATGAAACTAGAATTGAATCCTAGATAAAAGGACATCAAGTTAAATTCGACTTTATTGAAAAGCCTAGACTCCATGAAATTAATAATATCAAAAATAAAATTATTACTAAAGAAAATTTTCTCTTTTCCTTAAAAGAGGAAATCAAGCATAAAATGATCAAATAAAAGATCCAATCTTCTAAAATTCAGCAGGAGATAAGTGTGTTTAGAAATACCCTAGAGAAAGAAATGTGTTCTGACATTCCTAATGCTTTCTAGAATAGGAAGTAATATATAGTTGAACTACCATATGAGTATGATTTCAATGAAAGACTAATTGCTACAAAATCTATGCTATTTAAATGAATAGTAGACTCCCTGAAATATGTAAAACTGATATTCGAGATCCACTTAATAAAAAGCTTATAAGAAAAAGCTCTTCCCCATGGAGCTGCTCAGCTTCCTATGTAGAAAAAAACCTCTGAAATTGAAAGAGGGGAACCAAGACAAGTTATAAACTATAAGCCTTTAAATAAAGCTCCAAGATGGATCAGATATCTCATCCCCAACAAGAAAGATCTTCTCGATAGACTGATTGATGCTTGCATATTTTCAAAATTTGATCTAAAATCTGGATACTAACAGATTCAGATTGCTGAAAATGATAGATATAAAACTGCTTTTATTGTTTCTTTTGGGCATTATGAATGGAACGTAATGTTATTTGGGTAAAAAAACTGCCCCTTCTGAATTTCAGAACATCATGAATAATATTTTTAATCCCTACACTAAATTCATGATTGTTTACATTGATGACGTGCTTATTTTTTCTAATTCTTTAGAACAATACTGGAAGCATTTAAATATCTTTGTAAGAGCAGTAAAGAATGCATAGCGGGTAATTTCGACAATAAATATTACTCTTTTTCAAACTAGGATCAGGTTTCTCGGTCATAATATCCACCAGGGGAGTATTATCCCAATTGAAAGAGCTATACAGTTTGCTAATAAATTTCCTGATATTTTAAAAGATAAAAAAACAAAAAAAAAAAATTGCAAAGGTTTTTAGGATGCTTAAATTACATAGCTGATTTTTATAAAAATCTTGCTTTTGATGCGAAACCCTTAATTCAAAAACTTAAACAGGATCCTCCTTAATGGACGGAGGAGCATACCAATTCCATTAGAAAAATAAAAGTAAAAGCTAAAGAATTGCCATGCTTAGCTCTATCCAATTCTTATGCTTTGAAAATAGTAGAAACAAATGCCTCCGACTAAAGATTAGGAGGGATTCCTAAACAAAGAAGCCATGACAAAGAACAAGTAGTTAGATTTACTTCCAAAACTTGGAACTCTACTCAACAAAATATTCCATGGTAAAAAAGACGAAGTATTAGTTATTATTTATTACGTCACTAAATTTCAAAATAACTTACTCAACAAGAAATTTCTTATCAGAACTGATTGCAAATCTGTAAAAGAAATTCTCGAAAAATATATTAAAAATATGATTTCAAAATAGATCCTCTCCCAATGACAAGGCATACTTTTAGAATTTGAATTTTTAATTGAACATACTAACGGTAATTCAAATTATTTGCCTGACTTTTTTACTCGATAATTTTTACAGGGCAACGAGGAAGGGAAAAAAAACAAATGGAAATTATTCAAAATCCAAGTAAAAGCTTGGCAACACCATCTCGAACTCCGAAGGCTTTAATACAAATGCCAAAAAAAGATATTGAAACATCTCCCCAACTTTTAAGGACTCAATCTTAATACCCAAGGTGAAAAATCAGCTTACATAGCACTGACAGTAATTTCATTAATAATAGTGGAAAATGAGCACCAGAATAATCATCTAGTTGATATTGCAGCTATATACCTTAAGAATCATATTCATCCTACGGATGGGTTATGAGGCAATCTTAAAAGAGATAGGATCCATACATATAGTTTATAACTATAGATATAATAGGCATTACTTTGCATTTTCAAAATTGTAAATTCTTGACATTATTTATTATAGAGAATGGAGCTTTGATCCTTTAAAACAAAAATATTTTTGAGAACAAAATATGTCTATTAAGTCATTTAATTATCATGACTATATAAAGGCATGGGATTTAATACTTTCCTATCAAAATCCTCCATGTACATACAGCTAGTTCATACAATTCATGATAAGAAGCCTGCGAGATATCCCAAACTAGTTTAAAAACTGGTTTTATACATGGGGGCCTCTTTCTGAAATATTTCCTTGTTCAATTAATGAATCGAAACAAAAAATTTGCGCTTTCAATAAAAATGATTGTAAAAGATACCAATATCTATATTTTTGGATTTCATATGAAATTCCATGGATTATGAGATGGCAATATGCCATGAGTGAAGATAATGATAGGTGATATTATATCCCAAATCTCGAAAGACAAATTTATGTTAAATGGTGGGACAATCTTATCACTACACAACTAGTTCCAGGTAAAATCACCATTCAAAAGATTGTTCCAGTTAATCTAGCTGCCACATGAGGGGATAATGAGTTGCTTAACTATTTAAATCAAATAGAAACAAAACATATCTAAAAAAACTGAGCTTAAAAAGAGGCTCTTAATGGCTCTATAGGAAGAAGATGACAAAATGTCTACCTCTCAACTAGATGAAGAAAACCAAAACGAATAAGGCTTCAATCTAGATTACTCCAAGCCTTTCGCATCACAACACAGTTAAAACACTGTTCAAGATAAGGGACGATTCGACTCCAACCAATCCAAAACACATGTCCCAACAACTCATGACAAAATCATATGAAAAAATAGGAAGGAATCAAAACTTTCACAAAAACTCACTGTAGCAACGGTCATTGTAGCATTTTTTTACTATAACAATGGTCAATGTAGCAAATCACTGTGGTATTGGGCGAATTTTATAGCAATTCAAGTCCACCGATAATTACTGTGCGGATTTTAAACTAATTCAAATCCACTAATAACTTTACGAATTTGAAACGATTTTAGATCCAAATGAGAGGTCTATAAGTGGAGGCGACCTCATTTCAGCTAGGCATCTTAAGTTTTAATCTTGAAGTCTATCCTTTTAGTTGTAAATTCTTTGAGTGTTCTTCTTTCTTCTCCTATTTTCGAGTTGTGCATTCTTCATTTCCTATCCTTCTTTTAAAAGTCTTGCATATCTGGTGGTGTGTCGGCTTTCTTCTCCACCTCTACAGTTGTAATATGTAAGTTTAAGTTCCAGTTTATACTATATAAGTTTCAATTTTATTATATTTGTTTGTAGTTTTATTATATTTGATTGTTCATGTTTGTGCTACCTTATTTCATGTTTTTGTTTGTGCTTACGTTTCCATATTTTGGTATCAAAGCTTAGGTTTATAACAATGGTAAACAATAGAAAATAACCCTTAAGGACTAGTGTTACAGTAAGGTTCCAAAGTCGTAATTACCCGAAAATCGTTATAAAGCCAAGAAGGCATGTGAAAGAGTAGGGATTGTTTCTTGTTGACTCGATCTAAGTTGTAATAGTATTTCTATGGTAAATTTTCCCATGACCCTATCTAATAGATTGGCTTCAACTAATTATTATTCTAATGT